CACAGAGCTGGACCCCTGCCCCTGGGGTGTCCACACGGTTTCGGGAGGGCACTTGGGGCAGAAACAGCTGGCAGAGCCCCACGGCTCGGGGGGCTCTCAGCCCTAGGGGCAGCCCCACGGAGGTATTCCCCCAAAGGTGTTGCCCCAGGCACCCCCAGGCCTGGCTAGCAGAGCTGTGGGGCAGCCCTGGGTCCCCTCCCTGCGGTGCCCCCGGTACCTGCAGCAGTGCTGTGCCCTGGAGCTCTCCCACACCTTGCTGGGCCTCCTGCGGTCCGTGGCTGGTGCGTGGCATTACCTGGGTGCCCACAGGCAGGGTCCCTGTGTGACAGAGGAGACAGAGCTCAGCCCGTGTTGGTGACAAGCTGTGTGCCATGGTGGGGGCATGGAGCCATCACAGGGCACCTTGGCACGGCCTGGTGACACCATTCCCACAGTAGCAGTGGGCACAGAGTCCTCCTCCCTGCCAGCCTTGCCAGGGCCAGGCCCCCCTGCACAGCTCAACACCGAGGGCCATCCTGGCAGTGGCCAGTGCTGGAGGGAGGATGTGATGGGCACAGAGCTCAATCCCAGCCCTGCTGGTGCAACGGGCTCTACCCTGGCCGGGCCTGGTGGTCCCATAAATCACTGCCCCTGGCTCCAGCCAAGTTTCCAGCCTGGTCTCCTGTGGCACTGGCGTGACCATGCTGGCCAGGCCTGGCTGGCAATGAGGACCTGGGGGGCACAGCTCTGGAGCAGGGACACAGCTCCAGACCAGGGGATGTCCTGGATCATGGGCCACCCGCTCAGCCAGGAAAGCTGGGCGGGAGAAAGGGGGGCCTTTGGGGGCCCAGCTGTGGTTGGCCATGCTGAAGGAATACCTGAATCACCTCAGCTCTGCTCCCAGTTTCAGCTCTCCCAGTTAAACTGTCTTTATCCCAACCCAGGAGTTCTCTTCCCATCCCACTGGGGAAGCAAGCAAGTGGCAGAGAGGCTGTGCTGCCCACTGGGGTGAAGCCAGGGCTGTGTCCTGTGGGGGTTGGACAAGGTGCCCAACAGCCAAGGTAGCCGTGAACAGCCACAGACCCTGCAGCAAACGAGACCCTGCAAGCAGGAGCCTGTGCTGGGCAGGATATGCCAAAGCCACTGGTGCCAGTGGGAGGTACTGAAAAGCAACAGCTGACTTCACCTGGGCCAAACCAGCATAAATTCAGTGACCAACCCCAGACAGCAAAGGCCAACAGCAGCCAAGAGGAGTCACTGGGGGTCTGGCAGAGACCTGGCACACTGACCTCCCTGGGGTGTGGCCAGGCTGGAGCGGGAACTAGGAAGGAAGTGGAAGGATGGGACAAGACCAGGGTAACAGGATCTTCACCCCGTGCCATCCAGCCCCCAACCTATCACAGGTTCTGAGTGTGACCGGTTCCTTCCCAGCTGCCTGGGAAGCAGAGGCTGGGATGGCACAGCTGGGGGGTGCCAGTGCAGGGCTCGGAAGGCAAAGCCACGGGGTCAGAGCATCCCCAGACCATGATCCCTGTGCAGACCCGAAGGAACAGACGGAACAACGTGCCCATGAGAACATCAGCCTTTTATTTCCTCCCACCACGTTCTCATGGCAGACAAGACACAGTCACAACAGAGGGCTGGGCAGCAAACCCCGAGGACAACACGACAGACACGGCAGAACTTGACACAAGCACAGCTTCAGGCACACCCAGTCACACCAGCAGCCCCGCCCCGGCTCCGGGCTCTGTGGGGCAGGGGATGGGAGCAGGGCCCTCCAGGGCTTCCCCTGCTGGCACCGGACCCCCGAGGGGCCTGGATTGGCACTGCCTGCCCCCTGCGGCCCTGAACCCCTGCCCCACGGCGAGAACACCAGCATGGGGGGCACAGCCAGCGCCTCGCCTGGTTTTGGCACTCCACTGCAGTACATCAACCCAAGAGGACTCACCATGTGTTGGAAGCCCCCAGTGCCTCATGCCAGCCCTGCCAGCCCACCTCCCCACAGCCACAGCCAAGGCCACAACCTACTGCTGCCCAGCCAGTGTCTGGGAAGGGGAAAGGCACTTTGGTGTGTCCCCGCTGGCCTTTGGAATGCTTTGGGAGCGGCAGGAAGTCAAGCAGAGGTTTTCTGTGCTGGCTTCTCCAGAAGCCTCACAGGCCCCACACTTAAGGGGGGGTATCTCCCCACTGCCCCAGTGGCTGGGATCCCCC